GAGAGGTGGAGTGTCCCGTCCTCACCGCGGGCCGAGAGACCCTGACGTGTGTGTGTGATCGGCGCTGATCCTTTGGGCGTCGTGAGGTGTTAAGGGTTGGGATGAGCTCAGAGAGCATCCAGCCCCAACCCCTGCCCTGGGCAGGGACACCTCCCACCAGAGCAGGTTGCTCAAGGCTTTCGCCAACCTGGCTTTAAACAGTGCCAGGATTGAACCATCCACTACCTCCCTGGGCAACCTGCTTCAGTGTATTAACACCCTCACATTAAAAAACTTCTTCCTAATTCCCCCTTTTCAATTTATACCTGATACTCCTTGTCCTGTCACTGTAGTTCCTAAGAGAGTCCCTCTACAGCTTCCCTGTAGCCCCTTCAGATACCGGCACACAACCTTCTCCAGGCTGAACAGCTCCAACTCTCTCAGCCTATCCTCATAGCAAAGGTGCTCCACTCCTCAGCTTTGTGGCCTCCTCTGGACTTGCTCCAACAGTTCCATGTCCTTCTGCTGTTGGAAGCACCAGAGCTGTGTGCAGCACTCCAAGTGGTGTCTCACCAAAGCACTGCAGAATGGGAGAATCACTTCCTTTGACCTGCTGCCCACACTCCTTTGGATGCAGCTCAGGATTCAGATGTGTTTCATGAGTCAAGGTTGCTCTCTCACATTGATTGCACCCTATGGCATCAGCAGTGCTGTCACTGTTGGGTGCTGTGCATGGTTGTCTGCTGAGCATCCTGCTGCCTTACCTGTGGGAGAGATAGGCTGTAAGTTACAAGGATGAAACTCCTCATACAGGTTTTTGAGTCTGTCTTGATTTGGAGTTTGGGATAAAAAGATAACAGCCCTTGTATGGATGATGCTGTTTATTTGTCCACTACAAAACATGCCCAGAGCAAACAGAAGAAAAGGATTAAGAGGAAGCTCATCAGGTGCAAAGTTTAATAGCAGCTATGACAGTTTGTAGCAGTTCTGGATCTGTCATAGTGCCTTGTTGGAGGAGCTTTGCTGTTTAACTGGTTGACATTTGTAAGGATTGTTTTTGCTCAGGTTGTCAGCTTTAAACCCAGATAAAAGGATTCCAAGTGACTGAAGTGATTTGCTTTGTGTTTATTTGCCATTTCTTTAAAAAACAAAAGAAAAAAGTTGTGGTTCAGGACTGTAGCCAGGAATAACAAGTGTCTTTATGAATCTATTCATAGCTTAAAAGATGAGATCACGTCTGAGAAACTGTTTGGGGTGAAATTATGGATTACAGCAGGGCCACAAGAGAAGTTCAGTGCTGATGAGGTAAGGAGTCAATAATTGTTTGCAAATGGGTTATGCTTTAAAATTTGCTTCATGTGGAATAGAAAAGAACAACACTGCAGTAGTAATGCTTTAAATTGTGCAAACTGATCTGTGAGTGCTTTTCTCGTAGGATAAAGTTAGTTGTAAGCAATCATAATCATTTACCTTCCCCCACCTCACTATCACTTCCTGCAGTCTGGTGTGTAGATTCTTTCACACATGTGCTTTTTTCTGCCTCTTTGTTGTCTTCTAGTTTTCAGTTCTGAAGAAATTCCTGGAGGATGGAGGAGCCATCCTGGTGATGCTCAGGGAAGGTGGAGAGTCCAGGAATGGCACCAACATTAACTTTTTGTTAGAAGAATATGGGATCATTTTCAATAATGGTAATGGGGCTCACTAATACCTTCTGTTCATCTGTTTTATATCTTCTATTCAACTGTTTTTAGCAAAATCTGAAGAGCAGGTTCAGCCTTTGTAGATACAAGCCTTTTGGTCATAAAGATGTTTTTTTGTTTAAAGGGACATGGCAGGGTAATACTGGAGCATGGCAAGGGCTTTCCATGGCAGAGTACATGGACAATAACTTACCTATCTCCATTCCTTTGCTGTACTTGTAAGTTTTAATGGTATTTATTAACCTGAATTAATTCCAGTGACATTTATTGATTAAAGAGATTTCATTTAAGATATATGCATTTGCATTTTAATGGATTGAACCACTTCATGCTCACCTTGAATGTGGCACTTTTCTGCAGCAGACCAATCAAATATCATCCATTAGGTGAGACACTGGCACAGGTTGCCCAGGGAGGCTGTGGCTGCCCCAACCCTGGCAGTGTTCACTTGAGCAACCTGCTCTGGTGGGAGGTGTCCCTGCCCAGGGCAGGGGCTGGAGCAGGTCTAGAGAAGAGCAGTGAGGCTGGTGAAGGGACTCAAGCATAAGTGCTATGAGGAGAGGCTAAGGGAGTTGAGATTGTTTAGCCTGGAGAAGAGGAGGCTCAGGGGAGACCTTATCACCCTCTGCAACTCCCTGACAGGAGGTTGGAGTCAGGTGGGGGTTGGTCTCTTCTCCCAGGCAACCAGCAGCAGGACAAGAGGGCACAGACTCAAGCTCTGCCAGGGGAGGGTTAGGTTGGATATTAGGAAGAGATTTTTTACACAGAGAGTGATCAGACATTGGAATGTGCTGCCCAGGGAGGTGGTGGATTCACCATCCCTGGAGGTTTTTAAGACAAGACTGGGTGTGGCACTTAGTGCCATGGCCCAGTAACCACAGTAGGGTTGGACTTGATGATCTCTGAGGTCCATTCCAACCCTTAAATTTCTGTCATTCTGTGGTTAGGTTTCTGTGCTGCCAATGTGAAAAAAACCACCCAAGGCAACTGTGTCACAGTGTACATAAAATACTTCTAGGGTTTTGGGGATTTTTCTAGCTTATGCCTTTTTTTACATCAACAGGATTCCATTCGTCATGTGTTTGGAAGTTGTATAGAAAAATTGAAGCTGTAGGAACTGATACATGCTCTTGTACTGGATCATCCTTTTGCCTCTTCTGCTTTGCAGAAGGTGGACATGTGCTGATTTTTCATGTTTATCAGTGAGGGTTGATTTGAATTCTTTTGGGAGCCACAATGGCAGCTTTGTGGTGCTAGAAGCAAACACCCAGGGGATCCAAGAGCTGAACTCATTTTTCATTGCTGTGTCTAGCACACAGCTCAGCTAAGGTGTACATTTCTTGATCATTTCTTTTCTTTCTTGAAGATGCTGTAGTGAGAAATGTATATTACAAGTACTACCACCCAAAAGAGGCACTGATCTCTGATGGAGTTCTGAATAGGTAAATACTTGGGATATATAAATCTTTACAGGAAACTCTGTAATCTGTGTCCTTTTCAGTAAGTTTTGCTATTCAACACCCTATAGGGGAATCTGTGAAGCTGTAAGAAAAACAGTGCTGGAGACAACAGATGATGATGGAAGTGGACATGAGTCACAGTAAGTGTTCTCCTGTGAGGAAGCTGCTGTGAAGGTATTTAGCCTGAGAGTGAACAGGGTAGTGATTAGCAGCAGTACAGTGTGCTTATGTGGAGGTTTTCTAGTGTATCTCTTATGTAACCTTCTTAGGTTATGTCTGGAAAGGAGAATGTGTTTAGTAGTGCGTGATAACCACTGAAGGAGCAGGAGTGGTAGGTTTGGGAAGGAATTAGTGCTCTCATGTCACTAGTCTGAGGGTTTGAAGTTGATTAAACAATGTAAGTATGAATAACCTGTAGGCAGCAGGTGGTCTGGCTGAGGCATGAGCAACCCTACTTAGTATCAAACAGACTTGATCCAGGGTAAAATAAAGGAGTGAAAAGGTATTGAGAAGAACACAGCTTTTCTCTTAGTAACTATAAATGTGTTCTTCTCTGTAGTTAGTTTTTAGGCTCATAAATGTCATGTGGTTGATTATGAGGCAAATGAAAGTGTAAAAACATTTTATATAGTTAGTTTTCTTCCAGAATATATATTAATCTGTGAGTTAAATACCCCTCCCCTTCTCTCAGATACAGCAGGGTGCAAACAGAAATCAGGAATGTTCTTTGTTCCTTATTTAAGACAACTCATCAACCTGTAAAAACCTGTGGAGAGACTGAGGTGTGGTTACAGGGATCTGCACATTGGCAGGGCTCCTGGCATTGCACCACCAGTGCACAAGTGCAGTTTGCACTTTAGCCAGGCAGGATGAGTCTATTAGTGTCCACCCTGCCTGTTACGTACAGGTACTTACACAGAGTTTCTCTGTGTCCTGCAGAGCTCTCACTTTTGTGTATCCCTTTGGAGCCACCCTGAATGTGATGAAACCAGCAGTGGCAATTCTGTCCACAGGATCTGTTTGCTTCCCCCTCAACAGGCCTATTCTGGCTTTCTACCAGCATGAGGTAGGATCCTGCACACCCTGCATTTCTCCCTGCCCCACACAAACGTTGTGAGTGTATCTTCTGGGAGTATTTACAAACCCTCTTCAGGTTTTGATGCATCTGCAAACTCCAGATGAACCTAGTGACTCCTGCCTGTTCTTATGGCAACCTTCTTTGCATGGGGTTCAGAGGAGGATTGATTAATGGTCAGCAAAGATTTATTTGACAGATGAAGATGTTTAGTTTTTCTTTAAAGTTTGGGGGTTCCCCCCACTGTTTTAGTGATCATTTAGTAAGGAAGTTTACTGTTAGCTTCATAAATAGGTGATACAAAGGAAGAGACCTTGGAACCAGTAGATATTTTATGTTATCTTACCCCTCCAACTCTGTTAATTCATAAAAATAAATTCAGAAATCTAATAGTAGGTGATGGGTACAAACAAAGGATTGATATTGTTAATGAATGTGAACCAGCTAACACATTTTTAACTATGTATCTGAATATCTTATTGTGGTTTGTTGATATCTTCATGAGGAGGGAGATTTTTATTTTCCTGAGGATTCCCAACTTCACCTCTCATTTTGTGGCTGAAACAAAGTCCATCAATCAAAGACAAAACAGCAGCATGAAGTGAACTTACAAGTACACTTACTGCTTGCATTTTATCTGCAGCTGTCAGAGTAAGATATCCCAAGGGAGAAACTTGGTAGGAGGAAAACAAGATCTCTCGGAGTGAAATAGAGATATGGGAAAGAATAGCAACAGAAAATGAAAGGATGGAAAGTAAGAGCAGAGGATCTAACCAGTTCTGCTGTTGTGGGTAAAGCAAGTAGAATTAGGTTAAAACTTAACAAAATATACAAAACATGGAGTATGAAACATCCAGAATTTGTTAAACAAACTGGAGCTGTGTTTGCTGTATCTTCAAATGCATTGCAGCAGTATCTGTGGTTATATTATGGTCTGAGTTTCACAGTTGGTTCAGGGAGCACTCCAGGGATTCTTTGAAAACTTCTTATTTCTCATGTATGTCCTTATGGAAGGATTAAGGGATAATCTTAGAGTATTCCAAGATGTTTCATGAATACATTTACTTTAGCTTGATTAGAATATAATGACCTTCATATTTTGCATTTTATCTTACAAATACTAGAATTTCCACACTCTTCTCTCCTTAGCTGAGATGAACATGTGCTGTATTGACACACATGTGCTGTATTGGCCTCTAGACTGACATTCTGAACACCAAGGAATGGGTTGCAGAAGGTTAATACTGCATCCATGACACTTCTTTTTTACTTAATTGGAAAAAACCCGAATGTTCTTTTTCTGGAACAGTAACCTAAATGCAGCTATTGTTGATTACATTCTCTGGTTTTGGTTTTTTTTATTGCCAGCCAGTTGTCTGCCTTCTCTTATGAAATGCAGATCAGTATTTCCAATACATTTATGAGCCTTAAGAGCACATACAGCTATAATGCTGCAATGCTCTTGTGAGTATGCCAAGTTTGGAACTGCTTTTGCCACTGCTTATTCCAAAGTTCCTTTTTCCTTTAAATCACTTTGTTATGAGCATTAACAATTAGCTCTAAAACTGTGATTTGGAAGGAATTTTTGCTAAATTGTGTTCTTTGTCAATAGAGTCAAGGTGGAAAGATGGCAGCACTGGGATCTTCCCACATGTTCAGTGATCAATATTTAGATAAAGAAGAAAATGGTAAGATCATGGTAAGTTGGGTGGGTTTTGGGTTGGGTTTTTAAATCTTAAAAACACCTTAGTGGATCTTCAGAGCATTCCAAAGCTCTTTCAGTAGCTTGAGTGAGACAGCTCTGAAATGTATGGAGATTCTAACCCAATGCTAACAGATACTCTTTGATTTATGATCCATTTTTTCTTCTTTTTCATGGTATGTTATTTAATAGATCTAATATGAATGTTTAGGCATTATATAAGATTACTTGGACCCTCCTGAAAGGAAGTTTTGTCTTTCTCCAGGATGTGCTTTTCCAGTGGCTCACAACGTCAGACGTCCACTTACACCAGATGGATATGGAGGACCCTGAGGTAAGAGAGATCCTTCACAAGGAGGGAGATGATACTGTGCTCTAGCAGCACCAGTTTTGGCAAACCATGTATTTAGCACAGAAAGGTTAACAGCCAGGTGGGTGCTGCTGTGGTTGCAGAAACTTTAGTCAAGGTTTTAAGATTGAGTAGACAGTTTGCCTAGGTGTGAAAAATAAAGGTATCTCTCAGGCCTGGATTGGTCTTCATTATCAGATTTAATTTGTGAAAGACTCTTTCCAATTTGCCCATGTTTATGAGATCATTTGCTGCTCCAGAGTAATCAGTTTGCACTTCACTCTGACCCTGAGACAAGAGGAATGTGCATGAAGTGAAGGCAGATTTTCTGTGTATGAGAAAGCATCAACCCGTGTGTCAATTTTAGTTGGTTTTTTTAACTGATGGATACAAATGCCATTGTTATCTGGAAATATCCTGTGTTATGAAATTGTGTACTCTGTGTGCATAAAAGAACAAGAGTCTTGCACAGCTGATTAGTGAGATGGCCCTTTTAATTTTAAAGGATTAACAGAAACCCAGATCCAAGGCCCATGTGGTGAGCAGCTTTGCAGCCAAGAGAACAGACTGTGCACAGTTCACTGATCTAGTGAGCTGCACTGCAAAGGGCCATACCTGGTAAACAGTGAAGCAGTCATTTCTAAATGAGATTTTAGGTGACACATAAACAAGAAAGAGACTGTGGGAATGGGTTGGTCTTTTAATATCCTAGGTGTGTGTTTCTGTGTGTTCAGATTTCAGACTATACTGTGCTCCCAGACACAGCTGCACTGTCTGAGCAGCTGCGAGTATGCCTGCAAGAAGGGGATGAGAACCCAAGAGACTTCACCAAGCTGTTTGATACATCCCTTTATCAGCTGGACAGAACTGCCCTCCCTGCAGTTATCAAGTCAGCAGCTGTGATTTATCTGTTTATTCCATTCTGTATTCTGCACTTTCTGTTTGTGCTTAACTGTGTCACCTTCAGAGCAGAGGTGCAGGCAGCATTCTGAATATGGATATATTCAGAGGGATTTGTACAGTGTGACAGTTTTTTCTTGCTTCTTGTCTTAGCTGTATCTTCTCACCTTGTTTTTTCTATTTTTTCTGACTGGTTCTGATTCAGTGCCCTGATACTTTTAGTAGAACTGTCTTCAATGACAGTGGGCACTTGCTGGAGTGATAACAGAGCTGGTCCTTTTTCCACTTGGAATTTACTGAAACTGCATTTCATTCACCTTTGCATTTCCCAGTAGTTGCGTCTTGAGATTTATCAGCTGCTCAGTTTTAACAGTTTTGTATCCTTGTATTTGTATATTTGCAGCTTTTCCTCTGTTACTCAGATCATATCTGAACACACTGAATAGTGACAGCTGAACACAGACATCCCATTTTTTTATGCTGAGTGTGCATAATGTTGAGCCTGCTCTTCCTAAAAATCCACTTCTACAGCAAGTGGAAATGGATGTTGTAGCATTTTTTTCTCCTCATACTTTGTCTTTTTCTGTGCTGCAGAGCTTATGAAGAACTGAATGTGAAACATGAACCCCTCCAACTCATTCAGCCTCAATTTGAGACTCCACTACCTGTCCTCCAGCCAGCTGTGAGTAGTCTCCTTGCTCATGCAGCACAGGGAGAACCCTTCTCCATGAAGGTTGGACTTGATGATCTGGGAGGTTTTTTCCAACCTTAATGATTCTGTGGTTCTTCTGTTTCATGCAATACCTCTGGGTGCAACTGAAAGTAGTGTCTCATGCTGTTGTTTAAAAACACAAGTCCAAATTGTGGCAGAAGTGGTGACTGTATGAAACAGAAAATACTCTTACCAGAACTGTTGGGAAGATGTTTCCAAGGTGAGCTGTTATGCTGAGCTTAGTTCCTCAGCTATCTCAGCCATCACCTGGATGTCATGGAGCAGAACTGAACCTGCAAGTGCAGAATGTCTTATTGTGTGCTGGGTGGTAATTCTGCCATACTTGTGACTAAACTCTTTTGGAATGTTCAGTTATTTTTACAAACTACTAATGGATTTTCTAACAAGGTGTCCCTTTGTGCTCTGCATGTTGGAGTTGCTTTTGGCTTTAGAATAGGTTTCTTCACGTCAAATCTAAGTCCAAAACTATTGTCTTAGAGATCTGTAAAGTGTAAGAAAAATAAGTTGCAATAAACCATGTTCATTCTTCTCTTCAAGGTTTTCCCACCTGTTTTCAGAGAATTGCCTCCTCCCCCTCTGGAGCTGTTTGACTTGGATGAAACCTTTTCCTCTGAGAAAGCTCGTCTTGCAGAGATCACAAACAAATGTGAGTGGAGCAGACTATTTGTTTACACGTTTATAAAGTCCAAATTTTTAGAGGAAAATTGTTGTTATATTTAATTTTACAACATGAAAACCCACTGCTCTCATCCTGATCCAAGAAACTGGAAGCCCTTGGAAACTGATAACATGACTTTATGTACCATCACATCATATTTTGTTTGTTACACAACGCTGTATAATGCTCCTGCCTGCTGTCTCCTGTATTGTGCATAAATTGCTTTGTGCACTCTTGCTGATTAATTTCACATTTCTTTATGCTTTGAAGCTAAAGAGTTAAGATTATTCTAACCACACTTAAGCCTAAACAAGATGAGAAGGTACAGCTGCAGGAATACATCATGGCTAGTCCACTAAGCTCAGTTATGGGATTCTGTGATTCTGTGAACCTCCCAGAATTCCAACAACAAGTGGAGATTCAGAACAGGTTTTTGCCCAGCTGCTTGGGATATGTGTGAGACTCAACTTCCTTCTTCCCTTGTGCTTGTTTAGGTACTGATGATGACCTGGAGTTTTATGTCCGGAAATGTGGTGATATCCTAGGAGTGACAAGTAAACTCCCAAAGGAGAAGCAAGATGCCAAATATATCCTGGAGTACATCTTCTTCCAAGTGGTTGAATTTAAGAAACTCAATCAGGTATGTTTAATACCAGAATGATAAGTGAGTATCATAGAATCAACCGGGTTGGAGAAGACCTCCAAGATCATTGAGTCCAACCCTACTGTGGTTACTAGACCATGGCACTAAGTGCCACATCCAGTCTCAGCTTGAAAACCTCCAGGGATGGTGAATCCCCCACCTCCCTGGGCAGCACATTCCAATGTCTGATCACTCTCTCTGTAAAAAATCTCTTCCTAATATCCAACCTAACCCTCCCCTGGCAGAGCTTTTGAGTCTGTGCCCTCTTGTCCTGCTGCGGGTTGCCTGGGAGAAGAGACCAACCCCCACCTGACTCCAACCTCCTGTCAGGGAGTTGCAGAGGGTGAGAAGGTCTCCCCTGAGCCTCCTCTTCTCCAGGCTAAACAATCTCAACTCCCTCAGCCTCTCCTCATGGCACTTGTGCTCCAGTCCCTTCACCAGCCTCACTGCTCTACTCTGGACCTGCTCCAGCACCTCAATGTCCCTCCTGAACTGAGAGGCCCAGAACTGAGCACAGGATTCAAGGTGTGGCCACACCAGAGTAGTTGGTAGTTGCAGCACTGAGGCTGATGTGTCTTTGTGGCAGCTCCACTTGTCTCAGGCAAGAGGTACAGTGATACAGCCCATGTGTTGTGCAATAAATTAGGGCAGTGAAGTGTGAGCCAGAATTCTTATGACTGTTAATCTGTATCAAATATGTAGTGCTTAATTTATTAAGCCTCTCATTTATTTTAATTGGAGGATTAGTGCATGCAAGTCTAGTTTGGTAATTTCAGCTGAAGCCAGTTGATGGCTGGTGCCTGAATGGAAGCAGAGTGCCCTCAGGAGTGCTCACAGCACTTGCTGCACTGCAGAAGTGAAACCAGTGTTGTTACAGGGGCAGGACTGTGCTGAAATCATTCTTCATAGAGACTCTGATGCTTCAAAGTCTGTTTGGAGCATATTGGCAGTTCAGCTGTTTGTGCTAACAAGTATTCCCTGTTTCTCAAATAGTCTAGTTAAGCCAAAAATGTGACAGTTCTATCCTATTGTTAAAATTCTGG